CATTGCCTAATTATCTCGAACACAAAATCTAGTGAACGAAAGCTAAAATTAAAAAAACTGTGACGAACAAAAGTTACCCATATATTTCATTCATATTTGAAAATTCTATCGTGCCTCGATTAAATTTTTTTTACCCTTTAAAAAGTGTAAGAATAAAGGTACTCAAATACATGTGCATGAAATATTAGGATTTTCTTGCGAATTCAGTGGGTTTAATTTAGGTCAGTCTTCTCCTGCATGTGTTCACAAATTAAATTTCGTCATTGCGCAATGACTAGCAGGGTCATTGCATATTAAGATTACGTATGAGAAATAGCATCGTCGCAAACCACGGCCAAAATGTACGATCTCCCATTCTGGAGAGAGCTATATGCGGACTCCGAACCGTGGTTTGAGAAGACGGATAAATAGAGGCTGACAAATATTTTGTTATTCTGTTCTTTTTTTTTTCTTTTCGAACAGTATATATTAAACAAAAAAATAAGACTTCTGTACAATGTCGCACAATCTGCAGTACATGGCCAAAAGTGATTCATCATTTCCCTCTTTACCATATACTTTATGAAAAGTAAGTTTTTGTTAAAAAATATTGTGGGTTCAATTCTACTCAAAATTTCAAAAACTTTTCGATAAGTTACGAAAAATTGTTCATATTTTCTTTTTTGGGGGGGGGGGGGCACAAAATTTGATTACTGATCACTAAGGTAAAGATTTGAAATTATAAAGTCAAAATTTCTAACTTCAAAAACCATGATTTCATTACACGTTTTTTGTAAAACATGCATCTTTGAATAAAAATGTTCAGTCACTACATGAATATATTAGGAACCTTGATCCCCTTATGCTTTAACATTTAGGGTAAACTGGTTTTGACACGTTTTAAGCAATAATTTATGGGGAAAAAAACTAAAACATGAGGATCCCAAAATCCATTATTTGAATGTATAATTTCAATCTGTCCATCATCCTTAAATATGTTTTCATTTTAAATTTAAAATTATGACTGCATACCACAATAGTACATATAGAGAAAAAACTGAAATGATTGAACTTTGATTCGTTTCTGGCATTTCAGCATAGTTTATTTTTTCTTCAAACCTTATTTTATAATAAACCTAATGTAGAAAATTTCATGCAATAAATTGTTCAACAACTTCGATTAATATATGTCCTCATCATACTACGGAAATATAAATTTAATTATTAAAAGACCTGTATTGTGAAAAATTGCAATAAACTTTCATAATTTCCATCATATCATTTTACAGATTCTTACAACATTTTATCTCATTCAATGCCAGTATCCGTGTGGCGTAGTGGTTAGAGCGTTTGCTCTAGAGTCACGGACATGAAGGAGTCGATCCTTACGTAGCGGGTTCGAATCCCACTGCGGGACGTGGAAATAGTTAAACCGAGGTCCCGTGTCGCAGTAAGTGCTGGTCAGAAAAAGATCCCTCACTACCCAATGGCCCGGAGTGCTGAATATAGATCTATATTTGCAGCCCACCAACGGCAATGGTTATGTCTCAATATGAGTGAAAAATTCTCGAGAGGGACGTTAAACAAACAAAATCATTCATACATGTACCACCGTCTATCAGTATTCACAGTACTTTGATTTATCGACTTAGGTCACTCGCGACCTCTCGATCACGGAGTGAGCGCTCTACTGACTGAGCTACCGTGAACGGTAGGTAGAAATTTGATATTTTGTTCATATACTGCTTGGAAGAATAGCTTTAATTTTGTAAAATATCAGGGTCATTGACCTCGTGACCTGCCGATGGACACAATCATATTCGTTTTCGTTGATTTTTGAGAGGTATAAGCCTGTGCTATTTAGCATGTGCACCGCTTGTCATAAGCCTTTTTGACAGTTCACTTTACCTTGACCTTTTACTTGCTTTTCCAGAATACTCAAGCCACTATTTAAGTAAAGTAATTTAACTCAGTATGTCTTTTGAATTTTAAGAGGTAAGGTTTTGCTAACTAGCATATATAATGTATGTTAAAGGTGCTTAGACACAGAATTGAACTTAATATTTTCTCAAATTTTTTATATAATAGCACGACTTATATATTGCAATAGCATTTCACACGAAAATATAATTAAAAACTTATTTTATCTGGAAATTATTGGAACTACGAATTCCGGGACGGGTTTGATTAACACATATTTGCAGTTACATAAATTTTAACTTTATCCTTAATATTTAAGAAAAGAAGCGATTTTGTTATGCATTAAGGAAAAATATTACATCTATAATCCAGAAAATTCAGAGTAGAAATGTTCGAAAGCAAAACCAACTCACCAGTATTGTCAGTCCGTGCTCTGTGATGTGTACAGAGTTTAACAAATTGAACACACCCGTGGAACGTAAACTGTTTTTGTAAACAGGGCACGAACTCTGTTATTGTTAATGTTTACGATTCACCGGGTGTGTTCAATTGTTAAACTCTGCACACACTACTGAGCACGGACTTACAATACTGTGAGTGGGTTTTGCTTTCGAACATTTCTACTCTGAATTTTCTGGGTTATATAGTTTTAATATTTTTCTTTAATACACAACAAAATTGCCACTTTTCTTAAGTATTAAGAATGAAATTAAGATATGTGAAAGCGCAAGGATGTGTCAATCCAACGCGTCCAGAAATTCGAAGTTTTAATAACTTCGAGATAAAATAAGATTTTTATTATATTTTAGTATGAAATGCTATAGCAACATATAAGTCATGAAATTATACAGAAAAATTGAGAAAATATTAACTTCAAATCTGTGTTCAAGCACCATTAATGGCCCCAAGTCAATTTATCTCCATACTGTATTATATACATTTACCTTGCATATTAAATTTAAATTTATGAAAATAAATCGGTATTGGTATACCGACTTGAACTAGTAGTTCTAAAAAATAGGCCGACAATATTTCGAACTCAGTGCGAATGCTTTATGAATCTGAGTAATTAAATTGAATTAAACACGTACGAAAAAATGAATAAATAATTATTTCTAATAAATTTAATTTAATTAATAATTTCTTTTGAATTTTTATTTGATTGTAACTTTTTTGATAAATGTACTTGTAAAATTCATTTGGTACAGTCCATGTAAAAGTAAGTAGGGGAAAAGCTTGTATTGTGCAGAAATCTAGGTTGGTACAAGCTATAATAGAAGCATAAAATGTACATGTAAAATTAATCTAGCGTCTAATGAATTTGGGGAGTTGAAGAGCGTGTTTCGTGTGAGGATCTAAGTTGGTACAAACTAAAGATAGCCAGGGAAACTGCATGATCAGGATCAGCATAAAATATACATGTAAATTGAATCTGGTTTCCGTCAAAAGTAGGTAGGGAAATAACATGTACTGAGTATGAATCTCAGTTTGTAAAACTATAAGAGGGAAAACATATTTAGGAATCTTGGCTGGTACAAACCGCAGGTAGGTTGGAGGGAAACATCTGGGATCAGAGTTATAATTTTATGTGATATAAATCTTGTGACTGTCCGAAGTAGAAGGAGTACGTTTTATGAAGAAATCATACATGTAGCTGGTACAGACTACAGGTAGTAGGGAAAACGTCTGGGCTAAAAAAGGTTATTTATTATGACTGTCAATGGTAAGTAGGGTATAAGTGTGTGTTTTACGGGAATTTTAGCTTTTAAAAACTACAAGTGGATGGGAAAACAGCTAGGATCAAAGGTACAACTTCATGCTAAATTTATCTTGAGAGTGTCAAAAGTCGATAGGTTATAAGCATATTTTGTGGAGGATTCTTTTCTGATACAAACTACAGGTAGGTTGGGGACCATCAAGGATCAGAATGTTATTTTCATTGTAATTAAATATTGTTACTGTCCAAAGTATGTAAGTGAATATATTGTGCTGGAATTTTAGCTAGTACGAACTACAGGTAGATGAGGGAAACCATCAAGGTATTACATTCATGTTGAATTAATCTGGTAACTTTCAAAGGAAGAAAGAGGAAAAGCGTATATTGTCTATGAATCTTTGATGGTTCAAAGTACAGGTAGTTGGGGAGGGTGGGGCATCTTGGATCAGGGTTAAAACTTTGTTGAATTACTCTTGTGACTGTCCAAAGTAGGTAAAGTATTAACTCGTTTTGTGCAGAAATATTACCTGGCACAAACTTCAGGTACGGTGAGGAAATCTTGTATAATAAATCTGGTATCTGTCCAAAGTAGATAGGGGAATAGCGTATATTGTGCAGAAATCTTAGCTGGTACAAAGTACATGTCCAGAAAACATCTGGGATCAAGGTTATAACTTAATGCTGAATTTGTCTTGTGACTGTCCAAAGGAGGTAGGGTATTATAGCTGGTAAAAACTACAGGTAGAATGAGGAAATACATCCATGGATGATACAACTGATTAAAAATATATCGTATTCTACGTCTTAAACGCAAATTTCGTTACTGCATGCTCTATCTTCAGTTTTTAGTTAATACGTGCCTGTTTCCATTGGATAATAATAACAGCCCCCCCCCCCCCCCCGATTTTCTTTTGAAATGCACACAAAGATCAAAGTGCATCTATCGAAATACAAATAAACATTAAAACAAATCACTTAGTTTAATAATTTTAATTTTGAATTTAAATAATCACCGATTGTCAACAATTTATGAGTATTTGATAAGTGATATTGATACACTGTATATTTCAATTTTTACACGTACGACTTAATAGATATATTTACCCATCCTTAATTATTAGTTACCTAATTATTATTTTAAAATATTTTATTTATTTCCGTAAATTTAGTCACATGTCATTTATTCCAGAAATTCGTGAATAAATATATCCGCACGCATTCCACGTACGAGTAAAAATAATCCGCACACTAAAGATTTATAACTCGTCTTCGCCTACCTGTACATTGTACCATCTAGCGGAAACCTACAAATCATTTAAATTTCAAACATAGGCTAAAAAGTATTTTTCTATACTTTTTATTTTCTTCTGTTAATGAACAAGACTAATACATGTATTACAGAATTAATTACAATAAACAGCAGGTATTAATATTAATTACAAATTATGTAGTAGTCCTCAATTGTTAAAGCGTTTGTTTCACAGTCGCGGAGTCAAGGTAGCGGTTTCAAATCCCACTGCGGGACGTGGAGACCGACCCTCCGAATGAGACTGTATAATCCGAGGTCCCGTGTCACAGTAGCTGCTGGCACGAAAAAGATCCCTCTCTGCTCAAAGGCCCTAAGTGCCGAGTACAGGTCCAAATTTACAGCCCTCCACCGACAAGTAGTGGTCTCAGTATGAGTGAAAAATTCTCGAAGAGACGTTGAATTAATTATGTACATCAAAATTCATGAATTTTGCTTAAATTTTCTGTGTAAGTTGTACCAGTCAAGAGATACATGAAATCGATAAAATATCAAAATGGGTGACAGAATGTTGACGATGTTTTCCAGTGTCCCTGTATCGATGATTTTTTCATTATGAGTCCTGAATTTTGCGATATACTGGACATCGATGAAGCTATCGATAAGCCATAAGGACAGATTGCTGACTGAGAGTAATAGACACAGTCTATCTAAGGCAAAAGACGATCCTTCACCCGAGCGCACCACCAACTTCTCAGCATGGATTATCAGCACAGTTTGAAGATAAGTTCCCATGATATCGACGCAGTTTTCAAAAATGAACAGATATCCACCTTTTTCGGGCACTTCTTCAGTTCCAACAATTATGCCTATTGTGCATAAAGCAACTGTTCCTGATGTGGAAAATATGAGGAGATATTGTCCTGAGGAAAGTTTCTTTGGTTTGACCTGAAAGGGTGTGTCATTCCATGTGATATGATAGTATATCATGTAAATCAGTATCATCATGCAGAGTTTGTACACCAGTGTAAATGTAAACCAGGCCTCGCGTAAACCAACACTCTCATGCTTCTCTGTTCTCGTCAAGTACACGAAGACAATGTTTCCAATAATTAATGACATGTTCAACACAATCCCAGTTACAATGGAGCAGAAATGAGACACGGGATGAATTCGAGTGTTTGACAAGTCGTTTCTCAATTGCACAGTATTGTAATTTATGGAAGTGGATGAACCTGGCATGAGCAATGCGAGTTCATCGTCTGGTTCCGATAGACCGGCCACTGATGCTGGATTCATTTCTTTTGGTTCAGACTCCTCATCTTCTTGTATGGAAGGCCACATGCTAATGATAAACCCAGTGGACAAAAGATAAAATTCAACTCGAGCTGGATCAACATAAGGTTCGAGGTCTTCTGTTATATTGTAGATTGAAGACGACAGAAGGCAATGAATGTTTAAAGTTTCATTTTTTCTTTCGGAGTAAGGGTTTAGATTTATTTCCTTTATGAGAGAATCAAACCACTTACTTAAATTAGCAAGAAGTATTATCAAAATACCATAGTTGATGCATAGAGAGGGCTCGAATTTGTAGTAGCGGAAGTAAGTTATAAAACTCAGCTGACAACATAAAGATAGGATTTGGAGGAAATGACTGAACGTGCGTGCGATTGGATTCCAGCTCAAATCGTCAGATTCAGGACTGGACCAGCAATTGAGGTCCATGCATGCGCCCAAAGATTCATGCAGTATGCAAGCAAACCCAAAAAGCCACAAAAAGGCTACTTTAATATTTGTGTAGATTGCGATGCGTCTAAGTTCGGATGGTTTGTACCAACTCTCTCTATTTTTGTACGCAAGCATAGAGATAAAAACCACTGACATCAGAGCAGAAAGCATCAGCAACACCATCATTATCAAAATATGTTTATTGGCAAGTTGTTCATAACTTTGTTTTGCCCCAAATATACCAATTATTGCGAAGGTCACGGCTGTGACGAAAACAATGGTTACTACGGACGCCAAACTCCCGTTAGTTTCGTCAGGGTTACCATTGCGTGTTGGATATCCGGCGGTGAGGGGGATCTTAATGGCTGCTCTATATACAGCTTTTGCAAACCGCTTTACTGTGTCCATTTTCTACAATACACAAAACCACAATTAGTTGTTAAGAAAAATAAATTGATCTTGTAGTGCCATTTTCCATCTGTATCCGTTTTCTTATCTGTTTCCCTTTTTTTTTAAACCTTAAATCTGGAAATTTAACTGAAAAGAACTGGAACTGAAATTATAGCATATTGCTACAAACGGGTGAATTGTGTAAAGATATTGATTTAAGCTCTGTCTAATGTCAAAGTTGATAGACAATGAGAAGCTCGAATAGGCTAAAACCTTAAAGCTGTAAATCAAGGTGAATTTAAAAATAATTGCATCGTTTCAAAATTTTAGTACAATGTGTATGTTTTGCACGACATCTCCATGAGTAATGTAGGACATTTTGCATGATATATTTAACCTTTTACAATATATGTATATAGGCCAAAAAAGAAGACTCAAGTTATATTGCGTATTTCCCTAAAGTCTAACTAATTATACCCCCCCCCCCTCTTGAAACGTGGGTGGTATATAGTGATGGGGGTGTCCGTCCTTCTGTCCGTAACACTTTGGAGTAGCCAGCCCTTATCCGCAACTCCTCTTTCACCACTGAATGAATTTCAATGAAAGATCTACAAAATCTTTAGTACATGGTGGCATTTTACGTTTCGATTGGACAGATATTTGGGGTTTCCCATAGCAATATAAGGTCGAGCACTGGTAAATTCCAGTATTTGGGCAGTTGAAGAGGTTTTTTTTTTTAATTTTTATATTTTTGCTTTTCAGATTATTTTGAGAAGTGTTGCCCCCCCCCCTTTTCAAACCGCTGCTACGGGCCTTTGAAACCGCTGCTATGGGCCTCTATTTTACGTTTCGATCGAATAGATTCTTGGGGTTTCCCATAGCAAAACATGGACATTGCCATTCTTCTACATGAATAATAAGGGTGGTACCCATTAGCAAGTAGATGTATGTTCTCAACTTGGACTTTGCCATTTTACTCATGTGGGAGCGGGGGTATCATTTTGTGAGCTCAGTGCTCACAGTACCTCTAGTTTTCTCTTAGAATTTCATGGTTTCTTACAGTGTATTGTTTGAATTATAAAAGAAAATTATTTCTTTTAATTTGCTCTTTTAATTATCTCATACCAGTTATGTTTTGCTGTTTATTTTTGAACATTATTTCTTTGTAAACACGTTAATTGTCAAAAGCGTTTATAGTCCTAGAGATACTAGTAGGCGTTGCCCGCGTGTGCGCAGTGGTTGAAGCGTTTTGTCAATCTAGAGTCGCAGAGTAAGTTCTTGCGTTGATTCTTACGTCGCGGGCTCGAATCCCACTGTGGGACGTGGAGATCGGTCCTTCGGTTGAGACCTTAAAAACCTAGGGCCTGTGTCGCAGTAAGTATTGGCACGAAGTAGATCTCTCACTGCTCAATGGCCCTAAGTGCCGAGTATAGGTCGAAAAAAATAAATTTTTTTCGAAGCATTTACAAAACAAGGTTTGTTTTCAAATAACTATAAAATTCGTTGGGGGTATCTATGAAGGTTATTTTCCACTAGGGTTTGTGTAGAAATGCATTTTCATTATTACAGAAGAATGAAAAAAATCACAACTTTTAGTGCCGTCTTTCGTAATAAAACTAACCTTCAATTTCCCCGAATCAGATCTGAAATGATTTGTTCCTTAAATGACCGATCAAACAAATATAAGTTCTCAAAGAGAAAATCCGCAAGATGGCGTGAAGTTTCTTTTCCCTTAGAGGAATAGATATAACATAATCCACGTAATTAATGCGCTCTTGTAGATTTAAATTTTATGAGTGTATAGTTCAGTTCCTTAAAACTCTTGAAATCGCGAATAAACTATTTGATACGGGGATATTTCCGTATAAACAGGAAGATATAAATTTGTGGCCATCCAAACTTTGTTAATTTCTTCCTCAATATATCTGATAATCGATGGTCGTTATTACCTGATATGTTTGAACAGCCTTTGATTGATTAAAATTATCCCTTCATCAATATTATATCGCACTTTTTATGTAACAGTTCAATTCAGTTTATTTACCAATTAATGGGCCTCAAGGGGCAACAAGAAAGTACATTGTAAATAGTCATGTAAGGTCATATGTAATACAATATACATATACATGTACACAAAAGAGAAAGAGTTGCATGATTGAAAGGAAGACAGACATAAAAAGGTGGAATAAACCAGATAATATTCATCATGGTGCAGTTCAAATGCCCTGAATTTTTACTTATTGTCAATGCCATTTGTAAGAATCTACCAAAAGAGTTTAAGATATCTAATTCTTCACAACTTAATATCCAGAATTATTTTTCTTTATCGTGCAAATTTTCAAAATGTTTTACTTTGGATGAGACTTAATTAAATAGTTCCTCTCATTCCTTTGTAAAATTGCTACATTGAATAAGAAAATGTTTTTCATCTTCAATTTGATTAAGCGTACAATATTTATTTATTCTCTATGTTCTAGGTATGTTATCATATCTGCTCAATAAAGAGTCTATGTACTGATACAAGTACACTTAGTCTACAGATTGACTTTCTGTATTCAGGTTTTAAAAAAATTAGATATATATCCAGTCTGAAATTGGTTTTCAAAAATAAAAACATGTAAGTGAAAAGTTTGGCCTCTTTTAGTGTTTCATTTGAGTACTGCCAATCTATTTAATTTTTTTTTTAAATATGAGTTAGTTTTAATGAAGTTACAAAACTCTTAGTATATTACTCTTACTATATTTCATAATGTTTTGAATATCAAGAATTTTTAATATTTTTTCTCTCGAGGAATATATGTACAAGTTGTTTTGGTCGAGATGAAGTTCCTTACTACAAATGAATGCATCTTTTAATGAAGTAAAATCTGATATTAAATTTCTGTAGCAATATTTAAAGTGATCTGTTGACAATATCGTAATGTAAAGGATATCTGCCCACCTTATATAGTTTTACAGAATTTGAGGTGTAGAGTTTTACCTATAAAGTTTTTGTAGCATTGCACTCTCTACCATCGGCTCATACATTCACCTCAGTCGTTGGCTCGCGTATAACAGTTTTATTAACCAATTGACAGAAGGGAGTAATAGAATTTTACTCGTCTCCAAATGCCATTATAATGCTTTGTCAACAAGTTCTATCTTTATCTGCTCGTGACACGCTCTACGGGTGCTCTATAGTGATCAGTCTGTCCATCCTTCTAGCTGTGCTCATACTATTTAGTAATAAACCCTTAGAGAACCCGTGGATTGATCGAGAGAGTGCAGTGATCTTGATACAATTCGCTAGATCAAAAGACAAGGTAAAAAAAACCCACCTTTCTTTGTAAAATCCTTTTCCGGAGAACTTTTTCTCTCCCCTTAGCCCAGGTAGGCTTATACTTCACCCATGGAGGGGCTATGCTTAGAGGGTATGTAGTGACCTTGAACCAGTTTCTAGATCAAAAGTCAAGGTCAAAAAACATTTCTGTATAAAATCCTTGTCCGGGGCATATTTTTTTCTCCCCTTGGTCCAGTTGATTCAAACTTCACCTTTAGAGTGCTCGTGGGTAGAGGGTGTGTAGTGACTTTGAAGCAATTTTTAGTTCCTTTCTTTGTAAAGCCCTTGTCCGGAGTATATTTTCTCTCCCCTTAGGCCTACCTGACTCAAAATTCACCCATAAGTGCCCGAGGGTAAACGGTGTGCAGTGTCTTTGAGCCAAGGTTCTAGGTTAGTTGTCAAATCTCTATTATTATTTTTTTTTTGTCAGAGCATTTTCTCTCTAATTTGCCCCATCTGGGTCTTTCATTCTATTGTCCTTTGCTAAAAGCGGCGGTCTTTGAGATGGTCACCATCTCAATGATGCCTACTGATTTTTTCCTGTCTTTTTTCACTCCCCCTAGACAATTCGTTCCGTATTATATAGAAGATTTAAAAGATAAATACAATGAATTACCAGCTTTAACAATCCGTACTTGGATTTTTAATGCCATTAACAGTTTTGGTCATTTTTTTCTTCCAAGTTTGAAGATGCACATGTTCTCTGTTCTTAAGCATTCCATTACTCTTTTCCTTAACATTCAAGAGAAGTTACTCATTATCTTAATTGAGATTTTTGCAAAGATTGAATTAAGGATATCCGATCCTCAGCCAGGAAGGATAACTCTTAAATTTATTATTTATTTAAAAAGTCTCAAAATGAAGCTTGAGATCTTTTCGTGCAACAATTTTCATTTTATGCATCTCAATATGTATCAAGGTTCTTAGAAGTCATAGAAACGGTCTTGTAAAAAGTTAACATTTGTACCCCATAAAAGAAAAAAAATGGATTAATTTATAGAGAAATCGAATTTCCTTTAGTCTAGCATTAGGGAACAATGCTTATCAGCATTAGACGTGATATGTGATGTCTAGCAATAATAGCACAAGCTTTTTACACTATGTATTATGTAACAATTGAAGTAAAGAGAACTAAAATACGGTATCGGCATAAAAAAGATGCAATTTTCTCCAAATGCCTTGATACCTATATTTTTCTATCCTTAATTATATTTGTTGATTAATTTTCAATTAGAAAATGCATAGCTGGTGTTTTTATTCGCATTTCCTAAAAAAATATTTGAGATTTGATAATTTCCCATACATAATATTATTAAATATAATGATGAACTTTGAAGAAATACCAAGGGTGAATTCACGTTACTATGTGAAATCAAAGACAGTTTTGTGAGCATTTTCAATTACTCAAAAGCTGATTTTCACAACCTGAGGATCGTACTACCTTAAATTAAAATTGACGCCATGTTCCGTATACCGCTCATCAAAAATTTTCTATGGAAACACAAGTAATTATACAAAAAAATAATTTCACGACAAAAATATTTTATTTACAATGAAGATAAAACATAAATGTTAATTTCATATATATATATATATATATATATATATATATATATATATATATATATATATATATATATATATATATATATATATATATATATAGTGTCTATCCCTTCATCCCTTCTCTCTCTCTCTCTCTGCTATCATAGTCAAGAAACCCTTAATCCTTTCTCATCCTGGAAAAAAGTCCAAACAAATCGATGGACGCGTGGAAACGATAGAATACGAGGATGGGGAATATAACATACTTCATCACTTTATTTGTTTTGATGTTTTTGTCGTCGGCCAGGGTATAAACACTATTCTCCACATTACTAAAGCTATCACCTACCCACAGCACGATATTACAGATGGACAATAGCAGACAAACATACTCAGCTGCTAGAAAACTGTCCAGAGTTTTTCTTATGGTCACACGCGTAGAATGCATGATTAAGGTCGTTTGAAGAAAAGTCAAAATAATATCAATGATGTTTTCTGTCATCAGAATAAATCTGTGTTTGTTTAAGCTCACGATGAAATCGAAAGTGCAAACTGCAATCGTTCCTGCGTTTGCAAAAACCAGAATGTATTCAGTCGAGGAGAGTTTTCTCTTCACGTTGTTTGATTGACCATATTTAGTAATGTGATAAAAAAGGATGAACACCATAATCAACATGGACAATTTGTACGCAGCCATAATGGACCATCGAACTCTAGCATGTCTGCCGGGCTCATACATGTCCACTTTAAAGAGTACCAGCACCGAAGCGATAATCACAGGGAGATTTAGAATGAGGCCAAACAAAATGGCGAGGAAGAACGCAACCGGGTTGCGGCGTTTTGGCTCCTCAAGACGAGCCTCGGTCGGCGGAACTCGCCGTCGTCTTCTTCGGAACAGAGGCGTATACTCATCACAACTTTCCTCAATGTTATCCATGTTGACCGAATCCTCCAATTCTTGGGAATCATGGATTTCCTTTTTGACGGATGGCCACAATGACAACATAAAACTTGTGGCCAGCAAGGCGTACTCTATTCCGCAAGGGTTAAGAAATGGTAGAGTTTTTTCGCGTAATTTATGGATACTAGAGTTATGAAAACACTCCATTTCTTCATCGATTCCCGTGGTTTTGTTCTTTGAAAAACGAAAGTCCTCGTTTTCTCCAACGACGCTCGTGAACCAGAGAGTCAAATTTGTTAGCAAAACAATTAATATACCATAATTTATTCTAACTGAACTTTTGAAATTGTAGTCTTTAAAGTAACTAATGAAACCTGTTTGAATGCAGAAATATAATATGGAGACAATATGAACCACCATAAAAGCCAGCACATATTTTTTGTCTATTTCTTTATCGACACAATCAATGTTGATAGCCAATTCAAGCGCATTTTTCATTATTATACCAAGACTGAACAGCCAAAGGAATTTTCCTTTAAATTTTTTGGAAGCATCCTCTTTAACTCGTGATGGGCTGAACCATTCGTGTCTTTTCCGAAAGGCGAGGACTGCAATGAGAACTATGGCAAACAGCGCCATTGCAGTCAAGACGAATGTCATCGTTGTTATGGCAACCGTTGACTTTCCTGGGTCGTCACTCTTGGCATATATTCCTATGACTACAAACGTTATTGCAGTCAAGCAGGCAATGGTCACCATAGAGGACAAGCTTCCGTCAGTTTTTCTTGTGTCGCCATCGTAACTGTCTTCGGATTGGACAACATTTCCCGCCGTCAATGGTGTTATGAAAACAGTGTTTAGGACATCAAGTACAGTGGCTATATAAGGATGCATTTTTGGTGCCTGTAAATAAAGCGTATATAAGATCAAGGACGTATATAGATCCCTAGCTGCAATAATGTAGCCCTCTCCGATTTTTTTAATCTGATATTTTCAGGAGAGGGCTACAATTCCACTGCATCTTCGGAATGGTGCAAATATATTTTTTAGATACGGGCAACTGCAGGCAAAATAAATTATTTTTGCATTCAACTTACTTCCAACAAGACGGAACTTTTATTCACTATCAACATCATAGCCCTTTATACGTGAAAACCAAGTAAAATAAATCTGCGTGTTTGCCAGTCGTTCTCTTCAGCAGCCATGACAGTTCTCGCGTGATGTACTGAGACTTGCGCTTGAAATTTAGAATCACTTGATAAAGTAAATGTCGGTGTTGATAAATGTTTGTGTTGTATGATATCACTAAATATCGATAAATAAAAGCATTCCATGGGATATTTTTTTCATTAACAGTGATATTTTTGCTTAAAATAAGGGAAATCCTATACGATCCGCTCCCCTAGATCCCGAATTCTCATTGGTTGTCCCAAAATAAAATCGATCAAGGTCAGTAAACATGGCGGATAAATTTAAGTTGTGATGTTGACATACACGAAAAATAACCGATATACCGATTGTTCTGTATATTTTTGGATCAATTCATGTCTTGCATAACTACATTTTATGAGTTCAGGTAAGATATGTCAATAAAATACCCATTTACCGATAATTTGAGCCGAAATCTGTGCGGTAGTGAATCACTCCCGCACTTGCACCATTACGGAGATCCTAAGGAGTTGTAGCCCTCTCTCTCCCCCCCCCCCCCCAAAAAAAAAAATCGGAGAGGGCTACATTATTCTAGCTAATAGATCCCTGATAGATTTCAATTACTTGTTTTTAAATTAAGTTTGAAGGGTTTGAATGATGTACTAGTAACTTTTTGAGTCATGTCAATTGTTTTAACAGTAAGTTCAGGGACCTATTTAATAGTAGATTTAGTATTTAGGTCTCTAACCAAACACAACCTACCTAAGAACAATGTACAATGAATACTTGTACAATGCACGTGTGTGTAAACACACATGTAGCAAAGGAAGAAATAAGACTTTTCATTTAATACTGAAGAGCGGCGTACAGTGACCATTTGACAGTGACTGCATAATCATTGAATGGCAGATACATATCAGTCTGTTTAAGCTATCTTACAGTTACCACTCAGCCAATTTAAATTATCATTCAGCAGACACATTTCAGTTAATCTTTTGCCCTATCAGTCGCATTTCAATTTATTTACCATTCATTAACCTTTCAGTCCTCATTCAGTAACCTTTCAGTGGCCTGTCAGTGATACTTTGGTTACTTTTTATGAACGGTTACCGTATTTTAACATAATACAAGTTTAGCCCTTTCCGTTATACTTTTCTGGAAAGAATACTGAAGTAAAAACTTATAGATCGATGGCTGATTACTTTACTCAGTCTTTTTCTTTAAATTTTAATCTAAATAGTTAAGGATTGTAATTTAACTCATGAAAAAGGACTGACTAAAAAAATAGAAATTCTGATCTGTTGCAATAAAGAAAATTAGAAAAGAAAAAAAAATATTGAAAAAGTATATCATTTTTATATGAAAATTTTATATTTAGTTAATCAATGAAAGAGTATTTGATTTTATTTAATTATAATTTTCTTTGCACAAAAAATTAACTAAAGGATAGAGGTCCGTGATACAAATCTCAGAAGCTAAATTAATAGAACAATTTATTGATGAAAGAATAAAAAAAAATAATTAGTCTATTTTAAACATAAACATTTCTTGCTACATATAAAAAAAATCAGTCATCCTATTTAAAAGCAAGTAATGGTCGGTATATCCACAAAATCTGTGCGATTAACATAGAATATACAAGGGATGTACATGATTTATAGACATTGCCCAAAATACGTGATTAGTTTATTATAAGTTTATCCGTATCTCTTCATAAGTGAAAGTTTCAATTTTATGCAAATATAAATCTTTTTCTGTTAATAGATAATAATATTTGTTCTCACTATATTTTGAAAAGTGACGAAAAATTAAGCTGTTTGTGAAGTATTTTAAGATATAACTGAAAAGCCACAGAAATGTATCTACAATTTAGTGGACGGAATGGTCACTGAATTACCATTGAAATTTAACAGTCACGGACTGAATCAGTGACAATTTAGTGGTCATTCATTGAGCATTACGTGTTTCATCGTATGTAGGGTCTCTTGAGAGAGAGAGAGAGAGAGAGATTATATTGAAACCACCAACCTTAATTCTTCTTAAAAATTTTCTGGTCTTCACTAAGAGTCAGGGTTTTATGGCCACGTAGAATTCTGGAGGTAATCCTATTCTGTAACGGGGATAAGATAGCACGTCCTAAAAAAGATATAATAATTCTATTACACTATATTTGTATTCACTTCTTTTGAAAACACACTTTAAAACCCAGCGATAAACTAATGATTATCGTCCGCCAGGAAGTATTCTCACCAGGAAATAAAGTGTCTGAGCACCAAAAAAAAAAAAAACCTTCATTAGAATGATTGTTGCATTTGTAATTATATTAAAACTTCCTGTACGATTAGCTATGAATGTCAGAATTGAAGCGGGATTGATAAAGGTTTGAAGGAGTTACTTCGCCTGGAATTAAAAATCAAAATAAATGGCAGTTATCTATATAATGGATTTGTGAAAGCAAGATTCGAAATTATGAATAACTGAAATAAAATCACAAAATTGATAATGTCTACAAGCATATGAGAGAGAGAAGAGAGGGGACAAAAGCGTTTTATAAGCCTTTAGGAAATTTTAATTAATCTTTTTTTAAAATTAAACAGCACAGAAATATATTAAGAATTAAACGTATTTTTTCTTTTGAAAAAAAATTTAACAAGAAATAAACCTTTTGTCTAGACAACGCTACGATGCCTCTTCAGATTTTAATCTTATATTACTCAAACTTTGATAATTTTTATTTGTTTTGCACCATGTTAAGGTGTAATAATCTCTCATTTTGAATTAAGACAGGGTTACGAGGGTTGTCCAAAAAGTTCGTGGACACATGCTTAATTTTCTTAATAAAGTCCGCAATAGCAAACGAGTACGATAATATCTCAATATAGACCATGAATTAGTAAATATATAAAAAATTAAAATAATGCGCACTATTTTATGAACATTATAGGTGTAAATACTTTGTATATGCAAGCCGCACGGCACAGTCTGACGTAACGCTAATTTCATGATAACGTCAAAAAAATGGATTTTGAATTTTTATCACATGTTTATGGACACACGCTACTTTTCTTTATTATTCCACACTGCCAAGTGTGTGCAATAATATTTATGCATAGACCATAATTGATTTAATTTTTAAAATTCAAAACAATACACGATAATTACTAGCGTCATTAATATAAACGTTTCGTATACACAGGTTGCACAGCCCAATCCGACGGCGCTAGATTTGTAACAACGTCATGAATAGGGATATCCCATTTTCATCAAATAACAGTGGTTTTCCACTTTTTGTGGTGTCTCCGAAATTTTACACACAGTTGAAAAATCATATACACCAATTACAAATCAATGAATTAAATATATTCCAATAATTTCAAGTTGTTTGAATAAATATTTTGTGTCTGATGTCGTTTCAACCATATTAAGCCATAATTGTGTGATCGGACGCTGTTCCGTTCGGATGGCCGACGTCGCTTTTTCTGTCAATTTTTGATACATACTTCTTGAGGATTTTGCTTAATATTCTCACTGTCTATTTAGTTAGCGATACTAAAGATATCAGAAAATGACGATAGCCGCTTTATTTGCGACACATTTAATTTTTATTAAGCTTTGACTCGTTTTATAAAGAAAATAATCATTTTAATTAGAACACTTTTTGAAAAAGTTTATGGCATTTTAACCGTGGTCCGTGCGCACTATCGGCGACCTTTAACGACCGCGATTTTTAGAAAAATATTAATTTCAAACAATAAAAACCAAACTATTCTGACTTGGATTTTCATAACTCATATTTTGGTATACAATAAGTATATCTTGAACCATTCATTTTGACAAAAACGCCATTGTCCACGAACTTTTTGGACAACCCTCGTATATATACATGTACATGTATAAGTACCCTTTTACAGTGTAACTAAAGATGTTAAGATTCAGAACCTGTACATTACATCTGTGTTTTGTGACAATTGTACTTATTAATTTTTCTATCATATTTTGCTGCACTCCGACATGTGATTTACGAAGTTGGACCACTTGGGGCTCTTGCACATCGAATGGGGAACGATTAAGAAGACCGATGTTGTGCTGCCCCGAGGGCCTGGATGTGGAAAAATGTTTAAGAGTTTGCAATTTGTCAATAGCCATGGAAATGTCGAAAGAGAACTGCTCAGTGATATATACTAGTATACCGATGGAGCCACTGAATATAATTACGAACAATTCACTAATTTTAACAAATATGATTTCAAGTACTGCTTCTGTAGAAATTGTGACTGAAAACTCGGAGATCAGCACGCAAACCGTAAATATAACTACCGGTTCTTATGATGAAAACTCTACAATTAATTTATTTACTTCAACAGAAGCATTACGGAATGAAAAACTGGCAAAATATTCGACTCAAGGTGTCACTGGTACACCATCAAAAGTTCTAACCACGGGCAACAGACAGCCAATATCCAAAAAGTCTACAGAGAAAACATACACATATAGAACAAAAGCACCACTGAATGAGACACTGCCAGATAGTTCAACTCGGGGTGTCTCTGATACAACTTCAAAAGTTCTCACCACAGGCTCCACACAGCCAGTATCCAAAGAGTCTACCGATGTAACAGAAACGTATCCAACAGGTATTTCTGGTACAACTTCAAAAGTTCGCACCACAGGGTCCACACAGCCAGTGTTCAAAAAGTCTACAGACAAAACAGACACATATTCAACAGAAGCATTACTGAATGTGAGACTGACAGATAGTTTGACTCGGAGTATTGCAACAAAAGTTCTCACCACGGACTCCATAAAGCCATTAGCCAAAGAGTCTACAGATGAAACAGACACATATTCAACAAACGCAATACTGAATGTAACACTGACAGATAATTTGACTCGGGGTGTCTCTGGTACAACTTCAACAGTTCGCAACGCGGGCTCTACAAAGCCTTTGGCCAAAGAGTCTACAGATGAAACATACACTTATCTAACAAAAGAATTCCTGAATGAGACACTGACAGAAGGCTCGACTCAAGGTATCTCTGGTATATTTTCAAAAGTTCTCCCCACGGGCTCACAGGCCGCATAATTAGAGTCTACAGATGAAACAAAGCCATATCCAACAGAAGAATTACAGAATCAGACACTGACACAAAGTACGACTCAAGGTATCTCTGGTACCCCTTCAAAATTTCAGTCTACGGCCACCACACAGCCGGTGTCAACAGAGCCTGTAGAGGAAACAAACACATATCCTACAATGTTATTTAAAAAAAAAATTCTATAGTTTTTTTTAAAGACAAAGCTATATTTCTTTGCGAATGTGTTTTGCAGCTAACGCAGTTTTAATTTGTCTTTTATTATAATTATTAAGAAAAAGAACATTGCAAGGTTCAGCAACTGGTGCATTTCAGGAAAAAAGTAAGTGCAATCATTTTTCAATCATAAGGACAAATATATGCATTTGATCAATGATAAGGGGTTACTACTGTATGTTTATGAACGTATATCGTCGTTGCTTCTTTGTTATTACATGTATGCACGATATTTAAGGCCTCAGATTTTTAAAACAATTTAAAATATTTTAGGTATTCTAGTTGGAAATTAGTTACTAGCATCTAATATTTGTTAATAATGACTGAAATTCACTTCCAACAGCTCGGCTAGACAGTGCACATATATGAAAGTGATACATAATTTTTGTACATGTGCTTGTTTCAATAGCTTGTGTATAGCAATCATAAACAAGCTAATTCAGAGAATTTGTGTCCCCCGCTTAGGAAAAAAGAAGAGCATGCGCAGTTCGGGGGGGGGGGGGGTGTCGGACCCCCCCCCCCCCGCCCTTGAATTTGTAGAATTATTAAATGTATACACGTATATTGAAGGAAATAAAAAATGCCAATATGGATATAAAGATTTGATTGATTCTAAAAGATGTAATAAGAATATAAAAGTCCACCGACAACCTGTATTATACGTAATAACTCTCCACATGCCCCTGTGCTAAAAATCGTGCCAACGATTAGGTCATATATAACGTTTATATTCACGTTCGATATCGTCAAAATTTTACACAATACATGGTGTCTAATTTAGCCTTTACTAAACAGTTCTAATAGATGTAATAAGAATATAAAGTCCGCCGACAACCTGTATTATACGTGATAACTCTCCACATGCCCCTGTGCTAAAAATAGTGCCAAGCGACTTTTAATACAATAAATAATAATAAAAATAACGGGGCGGGACACTTTGCGAGAGGCGAGAGAGACCATAAGGAGCTATGGTATAAAATTTCATTGCAAAAGCTCAAAAGCTTCTTGAGATATCGCCCGGAAACGAAAATGTTACACACAGACGGAATGTATAAATTGAAGACCTTGAACTTTGACCTTTTGACCTCAAAATCAATAGGAGTCTTCCTTAGGCCACAGTGAGTTGTTATGTAAAATTTCATTGCAAAAGCTGAAAGGATTCTCGAGATATCGCACGGAAAGGAAAGTGTTAAAACAGACAGAATTTATGACCTTGACCTTTGACCTTTTTGACCTCAAAATCAATAGGATTCTTCTTTATGTCATAGGAGTTGCTATGCAAAATTTCATTGCGAAAGCTCAAAGGGTTCTCGAGATATCGCGCGGAAACGAAAGTGTTACAGACAGACAGAAATACAGACGGACGGACAGACAGACCCAAATTAATATCCCCCACTTTCAGTGAAAGCGGGGGACAAAAAAATGGCACACGCAGTTAAAAATCTAGCATGGAATATAATTTTGGCGGAACAGCAGCGTAGGAAAATATCCCAAGTTTTGGCTTTTCAAATTACCTACATATACTGTATACAATTCTTATTCAAACAATCAAGGTCTAAGATGAAGTGAATTAAATCTATAATCAAGGACTTAAGTTTCAGAATATATTATATAAACAAGATTTTTTCAACAAAAAAAAATAATAAAAAAGATTTGTAGAAATAAGGGGAAAAAATTGAATATAAGTAAAATAGAAATATAATGAATATTCTTTAAAACTTTACGGAAAGGACTTTAGAGGAAATTCAGTTTGGCAAATTATCAAATTATCTCAATTTGGAAGTGTTAACTGATCGACCTTATGT